AATAATTACCTATACTAGTTTGGGGCGGCGCCTTATGATTTTACCTATGCTATTTTTTGGGGGGCTCCTTACCTATACTAGTTTGGGGGGGGGGGGGCTCCTTATTATTTTACCTATTATACTATTTTAGGGGGGGCTCCTTATTATTTTAATTATAGTAGACTGGGCCCCAAAGCCCAAACCCTGGACCCTACACCGTTGGGCCCCCAAAACCCTAGTCTAACTCTTAGGGCCCCTACGTGAGACGGCTGGGGCTGTGCCGGAGGGCTCCGAGATCTGGGGCTTCTTCGTCCAGGGGGCCTGAAGAGTTCGTAGTGCTATTCTCCGTTTATTTATACTACAAGAGGCAGACTTTGGGTTTAGGGTTTAGGGCCAGGGTTTAGGGGGTTTAGGGTTTATACTGTCAGAGTCAGACTTTGGGTTTAGGGGTTTAGGGTTTAGGGGCTTAAGGGTTTAGGGGGTTTAGGGTTTAGGAAAGAAAACTCTTCCTTATTGAGGCCCCTGCCTTGGGGCTTTTTGGGGCTTTCTTTGGGCTTTAGGGGCTGAGCTAGGGTTTAAGGCTTGAAGTTTGGGGCCTTCCCGTCTTTGCTGCTGGAGGAAAGGCGCAATCAGTACAAGTGTTTGCGAAAATGGAGAGGTAACCTGTACGACGAGCTCGAAGTTTAGATATTGTATTTTCGGAAAATTGCCATGAAGTACCAATGATCGGAACTGATGCGGCTGGAACGCTGATTCATCCCTTGACTGGCCCCTAAACCCTAAACCCTAAACCCTAAACCCTAAACCCTAAACCCAGACAAGCAAGATGGCGACATCATTGCTTCCGCTCAACCTCGAATCGGTCAATGCAGCGGCCTGATCAACAGTACGCCCTCTTAGTCCCCATAGGGTTTAGGGTTTAGGGTTTAGGGTTTAGGGTTTAGGGTTTAGGGTTTAGGGTTTAGGTTTCTACAGGTATAGTCGGACATCCTACATCTTGAAAGCTGTAGAAACCAGCCATTCCAAAAGCCCTCGACTCCTGGCCGCACCCTACACGCCATAAACTCTCAACCATTTGCTGGCGACACAGACACACACACACAGACACTGAACACCCCCAAACCCACCCTAAACCATACTGATTTCTGAAACCAGACCCTAAACCCTAGATCCTGCTGTTGGTGATACGGAGCCGTGCTACTTCTTGTCTCGTACCAGGCCTCACTCCATGACTTTGCCATCGGCAGAGGTCCCGGAGAAGTGTTTCCTACTCTTTCAGCCGTGAGAATTTACGGCATTTAGGGTCTTGGGGCGCCGCTCTTCATGTTCAAGCCCTGAACCCTAAACCCTAAACCAAAGATCCATGAGCTGTCTTTGAAAATTCAGGGTTCAGGGCGACCATGTTCCGAATTTTCCGATGCCTTCCAAGAGGGTCCTGATGAACTCTCGAGGATCAAGAACATGCAGGGCTCTGGGCTGCGGCTTCGAGTTTGGGCTTAAGGGTTCAGGCTTAGCTTACAGAGCTTACGGTTTAGATTTTTGGGCTTGGGGTTTGAGGTGCGCATGGTCGGTGTAAAGCCGAGTCTGAAATGGTCGGGACCTGGGCTGGAAATTCTGCAGGATGGGGAAGTCCGAATCGCCACTCTACACACCGGAGCCTTGCAAGATCTAAGTTTCCCAGGAGTAATGTAGGGGCCTTACTAATCAAAATAGGGTTTTGGCGCCCATTCTACTATATCTTTAACAAGGAACACCCAAAATGATACAGTTAGTTATTAAGGCCCCTATATTACCACTTGACAGATCTAGTGCCACTGTATTCCAGAGCCCCCACTGATCCCGATGCTACATCCCCTGCCGGCTTTAGCAGTCAGGACACCCAAGTAAATAGCTGTTAAGCAAGGCACAGCCGTAAACTGAACAGTCCCAGTCCGATCCCGAAACCCAGTAGACGTACAAGCTTGAGCAGGCTGCCGGCAACATAAGGTTCTCTGAAGGCGACGAGGCACAGATCCGCATCTTTTGGTTTCGGAACCTGTGCAGTGTTTTGAGACTTGGATCGAAAAAGTGATGGGTGGAGGAGAGGAGCCCATAGCAACAAGTAGTAACATTCCTGCAGCGTCATGCTACGAAAAGCGTGTCACCACTTCGCGATACAGAATCCTACGCCGGAAGCCGTAAACCATGAGCCGCAGTGTATCTGAGTGAGGTCTAGGTGGACCCCAAAAGTATGTAGAATTATAGCCCTTTATGGGTTTCGGGCCATTATTTTACCTACTTTCGGGGGTTTAGGTAGGTGGACTTGTTTGGAGCTGGGGAGAGGGAGGGCTTGTGTTGAAAGGTTGCTCGTCGCTCCGGAGTGTGGGGTTAGGGTTTAGGGTTTAGGGTTTAGGGTTTAGGGTTTAGGCTTGAATCCTCAAGTCCTAACCCCAAGGGTCCCAAGGACCCTATAATTAGTTACTCGGTTTTGGGATAATAAATGTAGGTTACTATTTGGGAGAGTACATGATAATCAGGTAGTGGGACCTTTAGGGTATAGCCTTAACCCCCAGCCGTTTGGGGTTCAAACTCGGCGTTGCTTGTGACACTTGTGATGTGCATGAGATCGATATGCATAATGATGTCGGGACTGAGGGTAGGAATCTCAGGTTTTTTAAGTGTCACATGCAGTCTGCAAGCTTCCAGGGTCCACATTTTGGCCATATCTGCTCTTCCGACCCTTGTGCAGACCCATCGTGTGGTTTCGGAGGCGGATGCCGCGATGGACTTGTGTGTCGGGTTTAGTGTCACGGCTTTATCTCGTAACCCGGAGTAAAACCCCTGGACCCCTAAACTCTAACCCTAAACCCTAGCTTTGTCCTGAAGCTTTTCACCTCCCTGACTTCAAGAAACGAAGCCCGGTGCCTCAGCAAGTCCAGACCTTCTCGGTCCTACTTGGGCCCACCCTAGGGGCTCCAGTTACCCAAATAATGGGGTACTGGGGTACATAAGATATAAAGTCTGGTTGGTAACTTAAAAGGTTAGAAAACTGGAGCCCTAGACAAACCCTAAACCCGATAGGACGCAGCCGCGGATGCGCTTCACACCGCTCCCACGCAACTGGAGGCTCGGTCATCAACAGCGGGGCATCGATCAAGTAGAGTGCTGTTTTACCCAGAGAACCCAATACCCCTTAATTATGGAATATACCTTTTATTTTATCGTAAGATTAAGGCCCCTATAATGTAAGGTACATTCCTTAATTAAGGGATATTGGGTTCTCTGGGTATGGGAAGTTTACGCCCTACGAGTACAGCGTAACCGTAACTCTGAGTCCTCGAGGCACGATGCAACTTGGAGCAATATGGGGTTGCTATTGCCCGACTTCTGCTTTTGAGGAAGTGACTGCCAGGCCCTAAACCCTAAACTCTAAACCCTAAACCCTGATAAGCCCTGACGCCGAAGCAGCAAAGCCAGTCCCAATGCTCCACGGCATGTGAACACTCAGGTCAGGACTCAGATCCTTATGTTTAATGTTTACTTAAAGGTTCATGGGACTTAGTAACTTGGCTTATAAATAAGGTAACTATACTGATAAATACTTATAAACCCAATTAAGGTACTTATAACTGTACTTATTAAGTCCCATGAACCTCCAAGTAGGGGCTGTTGGGCATAGGCTTGACGCCCGCAGGGAGATGCTTTCGCATGAAGGCAAGGGCTCAAACAAGCAAGCTTAGTCAGCATTTGCTAGCTGTGGCTTCACTTGCATCCTTTCGTTCATGTCGGAAGCCAGTCCTGCGCAGGCTGATGCCAAAATGGAGGTGCTTGAAGCAATGGCGACGGCGGAAGAGGTCGGTGATGTGGTATTGGACTTCGGCGTGGACTCCATGCCGGCAAACTCTGCTTTGCTTCGCCTTGCTTCTCCTGTGTTCAACCGCATGCTTAACAGCGGCATGAAGGAAGCACAGCAAAGTGTCATCAAGGTGGATGTGGCGAGCAAGGAGGAGTTCACCATCTTCTACGAATTGCTGGTGCCTATGGCATGGAGCACCGACAGAGTGACCGAGACAAACGTTGACTCGCTTCTTGCAATCAGCGACTACTACCAGGTGTGAAAGATGAAGCAAGCCTGCGAACAGTTGCTGCTTGGTCTTCCGCCTAGCGGTACCCGCCTCCTGCAAGCGTACAAGCACGGCCTCAAGGCACAATACCAAAGGTGCATGAGTGACTTGGCCAAGAAGAGCACAAAGGCTGACTTGGAGGCGCTCCAGTCATATCCGCACGTCTTGATGGAGGTGACCTTCAGAAAACAGGACTTTTTGAACCAGATCATGGAGATGAGAGGTGAGATCGTGAGATGCCAGGGCTCAGTCGTCGATAATGTTACCACGAACAGACGACATTTTGTTGAAGGGGACAAATTTCAGCCGCAACAAGCCGACCAAATATCTGCAGCGTTGGCGGAGTATCAACCAATGAGAAGAGTGCTTGGAAGGCTGCTCCAGGCATTGAGCTGATCGTAGCACAGTCTTCGAACCTGTGCATACTGGGGCTAGCGTGTGCCATGCCACTCCGGGCCTTGATGAGCCGCAGGGTACATGTCTCCATGGTGGGTCCCTAAACCCTAACTTACCCTAAACCTTAAAGCAAGGCCGAAGATACTGGGTTGATTGTTTCCGCCAGGAGACCAAACGAACATGACCCGTGGAAATATGCCGGGGTACTCTCAACGGCCCTTCTCTGCTCCGGGATGCGCCAACAGCGTGCCTCTTGGACAATGGATATAAACATTCGAGGCAGTGTTGCTCGCGCTGCGAGCAAAACTTGTGATGCTGGTCTTTGGGTCTTGATATATCAGCTTTAAAATCGTGCATCGCTTACCCTGTATCGTTCAGTTGCAACTCCATCTCTACTGAACTTTGATGTTGATGCTGACGATCATGCTGATTATGATGCTGATGATAATGCTGATGATGATGGTGATGATGATGATCATGATTTCTGTGGTTGCTTCCAGGAAGGCACTCTAGACGCGAACCCTAAACCCCACTCACAGTGTCGTCGCAAACTCGCGGAAAGCTTTGCGAATATCAGGGCTTTGGGATTCAGGGGTTTAGAGATAGAGTCAGGATGCGTGTATACAGGCTTGTGGTCCTGGGATGACCCAGGTGTAGAACTCGGGAGGCGGGGTGGGGGGTCGGTTGTGGTGAGAGGACTTTGTTTTAGTTCTTGGCCGAATGTTCGGATCTGATGGCTTCAGGATTTTCGGGCAAACGATTTCCCAGAGACTCCGACATGCCGTCAGGCAATCAAAATTTCGAAACTAAACAAGGGCCCACCTATTGGTCTACTTTCAATCAAATCGAGTCAGGGCTCTGTTTCCGTACTTGGCCCAAGTCATGAATGAAGTTCTCATGGCTTACAGGCAGACACGCATCGAAGGAACCTTTCGTCACGTTTTGTGGGAGACCACATGCAGTCGACTTTAGAAAGCCCTGCGACTAGATCCCGCATAGTAGCCTTCTTCGATTTCGGGCCTCCCTGTCGTAATGACCGCCGGAGGGTTGACCCGAAACCACACACGAGTCCATGTTTGGGGACTTGTCACGGTTTGGATTGCTTACTAACCCCATTCTAGCTATTAAGGCCTCCGCATTCACAATCCCCATACCCCTAAACCCTAAACCCTAAACCCCATACCCCGAACTCTTTCTCTGATATTCTGCTCGTGGTGGCTGCCAGGACGAACTGTGGATCCTAATGCGCTCTCTGGCGCACGTGCTGCAGGCATCGGTCATGGGATTAAGGGTTTAGGGGTGTATGTAGGGTGAAGCCGATTAGTGTGATTTACAAGGATATATGGGGTCAATTTTGGGTGGTCCGGTAGGGTTTAGAGTTGAGGGTTTGTGTTTCTCACGTGCGTTTCAGACAGAGGCTGGGAGCTCAAGTGAAAGCAATCGAATATTTCCCTGTATATATCCCCATAGGTTTTAGCCTGCACCATGAACCCTCGAAGTAGACCCTGAACCCGAAGCCCTATACCCTAGATAAACCCTAAACCCTATAGCATAAACCCTGAACCCTAAAACGTCAGAAACTGGCAAGCAAATGAATCCAACGGGTGGTGTCTGCACACCATCTGTTGGCCAAGGCCCGGAAGGTTGGCTCAGGCTTTAGGCTGTAGGGGTTTGGGGTTTGTGGTTCCACGGTTTAGGGTTTGAGGTTTAGGCCCGAAGGGGTCCCAAGTTCTTAGTTTTGGGGGATACTTGCCCAAACTATAACAGTAACCCTGCTATAGAAACCTTACACTCTACTATATGGGTACCTAGAACAATCACATTTTGCGGCACCATGGATCCCTACACTGTAGAAAAAGTTTGAACCCCTAAACCGGTGAGCGTATAGTGTTTAGGGTTTAGGGTTAGGGTTCCTGCAGCCGTTACATGCCCTTATATTGCCTGAACAGGGGCTTTAAGCCTGGTACCCCGCATCCCCTTATGTTGCCAACCTGGGTAAATCTGCACACCTCAGGCGCCTACTACAGGACATGGTGGTCTCCGGAGCCGTTGCGAAACCCCTGATTTTGTTCAGAGGAATGTCGAAGTTGAGTCGAGTCTCATGCATGCCCTAAGACCCCTAAGACCCCAGCAAGTCAGAGTAATATGTTATTGCACTCCCTTAAGATTCCGTATATAGCTAGACTGATCCTGCTACAACATGCTCAAACCCCTATTCTACTTATCACGGCCCCGGGTTTTGCTGTTTATCGCTCGCAGACATCGATCTAGGTAAGGCTTGAAAGCTCGGAGTGTTCCGGATGGCGAGGTGATGGGCAGTGACTTCCGCGACGCGCAGCTGGCGCAGGCAATGGCGATTCCAGCGCAATTAGGGGGTGCTCGAAAGCGATAACCTGAAGTGACATCACCGGAGCTTCAGAGAGTTGTGCCCTTGAACTTTTGTGGCGGAGACACATAGAGCTTCGATAAGTCTACAGCTCCCTTTTTTTCGTAAACTCCGAGACATAGGATGTAGGGCCGTGTGAGGTGCAGATTGGGGCTTCTTTCTCGAAATTAGACTAGAAGCTGTGTGATAAAACTCTTGCAAAACAGCCTATCACATAAGGCCGCATTCAATGGCTCCATGCTTGGGATCTGTTTACGACCTCCGTGATTCGTGCCCACTTCTTGTGGGATTGGACTTGCAGCTCAAAGGCTCAATACTTAAGGTCTATAGGCCGTTCGAGCTTTTTTTGAACAACAAGAGCACTGAAAAAGCTCAAAGTTTGAGCCTTGATATATAGGGGCCTCAACAATTAGAACAGGGTGTTGGGGCCCCTTTTGCTATAATCATAATAAGGACCCCTCCCCAAAAAGAAACCAGGATAGTAGCGGTAATTATTTAGGCCCCTACATTAAAGCCACGCTCTCCTCGTACTTTTTAGGTTTATGTGGCTGGAGCTGGAGCAGGCTCCGCTGCCGAGCCTGCGCCTTAGGGGAAGTAGATCTTGGTTTTCTGAATCAGGGTTTAGGGGTTTAGGGGTTTAGGGTTTAGGGTTTAGGGTTTGGGATTACAAGGGGTACCATGTGGGAGTTGTTCCGACTGTGTTTTATGTATTCTACGGGGAGGTCATGGGGGGCTTCAGAAAGAAAGTTGGTAGAAGAGAGTGTTAGACGAGTTTATATGGTCGTGTTTTATAGTTGTTTTTTTTTTTGCTGTGAAGGTGCTGGCAAGGACATTTAAAGCGTGTTAAAGTTGTTTGCTGTTTTCTGTCATTGGTCTCCCATGCTGTAGAAGTTTCTAAAAAAAGGGATAACATAATTAGTAGCTGCAAGAAAGAATTGTTGCCTCAGCGCGTAACCTGAATTTGCAGACGCAACACGTAACCCTACGCAGGGGATACTTACAGAAAACGTAAGTTGCTGCGAAGTATGGTAGCAACACGTGACGTACATTCTTCTGACACAAAAGTTCCTTCAGCAGGTGTAAGCTCGCCCGCATGCGAGCTGTGTGTGTGTGTGTGTGTGCAGGTATGTGTTCGACTCGGCGTCCTTCGGCCATAACACGTTTGAGCTGACGCAGAGGCTTTGTGCCCACGTCCTGGCCTACATGCGGCGCGCATCGCCTGAAGCACAGCCGTCCCTTTGGCGTGAGTAAGGGATATCAAGCAGGCATGGTTAAGGATTTAATTGCGGTTCAGGGATGTCTACTTTAGGGTTAACGGACAATCCAAACTCCGTCAATTGAATCTTCTGTTACAGAGGGCGACTTTATGTTATCTGTCTGTCACCTACAAGATTTGGAGTGTCTGAAATTTCCAGATTTGATGAAGCACGCGTGTGGGTAAAGGCCCACCTAAACTTATCTGTTGATTGGTGTGTGTTGGTTACCGGTTGTGCGTTTTTTTCTGGGCTTCAGCGTTCAGGGTGCAAGCTTATTTCCTCACCAAAAGTTTGACAACAATAGAGCAGGAACTACAGGCGAGGGTCAACTTTCAGGCCTGGAGCCAAATCCATTCCTCAGCTTGGAACACTAACCCTAAACCCTAAACCCTAAACCCCAAATTCTCAAGCCGTATAGACTGAGCTCTAAACCTCAAACCCGAAGCCCCTAAACCATGAACCGAATTGGGGAGTGGTGGACCAAGGCCAGCAACCGAACCCTATTGGACCCTGAAGCTTAGGGTTTATAAGGGTTTAACCCTAAACCCTAAACCCAAAGGGTTTAGGGTTTGGGGAGCCTTTGGCCGTGGCCGTCGGGCAGGCGCCTTTGCTTCGCGGAGGTTCCAAGGCTGCCGAAGGGCGGATGTGCACGGCCCCCAGAGGTTTTAGTTGTAAAGCAGTGGTTTACTACGGCTTGATAGGATTTTTTTACGGCCTCTTGCTGTTTATGAGTTTATGAGCAATGCACAAGCAATTTATAGTGATTTTCATGAGAGTTGAGCTACATATCCGCATTCGAGATAAGATGATTGCGCAGATCGCACAGCCTAGAACTCCCAAGCCGAAGCTATCGCTGCAGAGATGAAAAGCGCTGAAGACGAGCATCCATAGTTCCAGGTCAGCATTTCAGATACCCTAAACCCTAAACCCTAAACCCGTTTTTTCGATGCCCGGACAGCCGAGCCGCTGTAGCACATAAAGGTATCGGAGGCCAGAACTAACAAGTTTGCACGACAGCTTCCAGGCTCTGGGCTACTTGCTTCAGGTTCCCTTTTTGAGGTTCTGGTGTCGTTTACGGAGATCCACCAAAGAATGATGTTTGCCAACCTTCCAAGCGGAATGGAGGCAACCTCTCCTCTGAGCCCTGAATGGTTCCGCTTTGGGGCCTCAACTTTAGGCTCGTTTGTGTAGACGTGCTCCTCAAGCCCCAGGGAATCTGGCCATCAGCCCAATACCGCTCCACCCACCTTCGCCCCGCAGCTCAACCCGAAACCCTAAACCCTACACCCTAAACCCTAAACCCTAAACCCTAAACCCTAAACCCTACACCCTAAGTCAACCTCAGGTGGAGATTGCCCTCACCTGCGATGCCTCGGAAGCAGCCTCGTCTTTTGCAGTGGCCGAGGTGCATTGGAGGAAGGGCTTGGCGGGCCACTGATTCTCCGCCCAAAGGATCCTAAATTCTAAACTATGCCATACATTTGTCTCCTTATAGTCCCATTATGGTCAAAACATCGTAATATGACACACCCAGAAACCTTATTATGACTCGTAAGGCCGCCATACTAGGTTGTTCCATTCTTTGAGTGTTGATGATGAACATAGGTCAACACCAAGCCCTGTGTATCGAACCAAGCAGTTTGTTGTTGAAATTAGGTTTCACACTTCCGTCGTTGCAGGATTCATGAGGGTCGCTGCCCTGAAGCGCTCGAGCTTGAAATCCCAGGCCCGCATGAGGCCTGATCGCACACTCACACTTAAAGGTGCAGGGGACTTGATAACTAGGGTTATAAATAAGCTAATAACTATGCTTATAGTTACTTATAACCCTAGTCCTTGTACTTGTAACTGTACTTACTAAGTCCCACGAACCTCCAAGAAGGTTTACTTCAAAACATCCTCCAACCCCTAACCTCAACCACGGAGACCCCAATCCTCGAACCCCTACAAGCCTTATATGCTGCCCCAAGCTGCCCTAAACCCTATGCGGTGAAAGCCTACCCAACCTCCTCCAATCGAGCCCGAAACCCCAAACTGAAAACCCGCAACCCCAAACTCCAAGCCCCAAACCCTAAACCCTAAACCCGAAGCCTCGAAGCCGAAACCCCATACCCGAGACCATAAACCAAGCCTCCAACCCGAAACCTTCGCACGAGGCCGTCTCGAACTCTGATTTGCCATCGCTGCGCGCTGCAGCGACGCAGTGCCTCAGCTTGGCTCGTCGGTTTGCCTCTATAGCTCCAGTGACTTAGGAGGCTTTAGGGCATACAAGGGCGGCTTGCTATGGACTCAGCCCCATAACTTACCAAGACCCCGGAAGGATCTAGAAAGTAGAACGCTTAATTTGGGACTCTATACTACTAAGGGCTCTTTATAGGAATCCCCCATTAAGGGATCTACTTTTTGGAACCTCCCGGGAGTCTGGGTAACAGGCAGGATCAACCCTAGCCCTCTCAAGCCGCAAGGTGCCTGTCGTCCCTTTGCAAAGCCGGGAGCCCAGCCAAACCTCCTGGGCAGCGACAAGACCTACACTTTCGAATTTCGAGCCTTTTCGGACTCGGCTTAGGGTGAAGGGGGTTCAGGCTTTAGGGTTTAGGGTTTAGTTTAGGCTCTAGGGCATATGATCTGTTGTGCCCAGTATTTCTATGTGGCTGGCTCAGATCGCGCCCTTCATATTACTGTCCCCCCATGCACGCGCCAAAAAGAGCCTCACTTCTGCAGCTACGTTCCTGCATGGCTCTGCCTGCATCAAGTATAGTGAGCGCCACAGGAAACCCCTAAAACCCTAAACCCCTAAACGCCCTAAACCGAAATCGCTTCCACCTAGGCCAACCGACCTGGAAGCCCGAAAGCTTTTGCGTCCATCAGGCTCAGAATCGCTCAGACTGTACCAAGGTCTTGACATAGGGATCGGAAGAACTAGTCAGATTCAAAAAATGTCCCTTTATAGTCCCTTATACTCATGGTTCACCCCAAAACCCATCCTAACTAATAAGGCCCTATACTAAACCTGTTAACATCCCGTATAGAACACTCTAAAGGAAGTCTATTCAGCGTCTTATTATTAAGACCCCTACAAAAACCTAAGAAACTCGACGAAGTCCCAGACCCCTCGGAAGGATCTGGAAAGTAGAACTCCTAATATGAGGGTTCCTTTAAGGACTCCTAAAAGGGATCTATAGGGCTTTGGGGGGGTTTATGGAGGGTTTAGGGTTTATAGGATCTAGAAAGTAGAACCCCTAATTTGGGACCCTATACTACTACAGGGTCTTTATAGGAACCCCCTGTAAGGGATCTACTTTTCGGATCCTCCGGTCCGGGGTTACTACTAAAGTAAGGGTCTTTATAGGAACCCCCCTGTAAGGGATTTTTTTTGTGGATCCTCCCGGGGGTCTGGGGTTCAACTCCCCAAGAGGCTGTCAGTCGGATCGATGCCCTGCAAGTACAGCATCTTGGCTATTGAACAGCGGCTTCGGGTTTAGGGTTTAGGACTCGGGTTTAGGGTTTAGGGTTTAGGACTCGCTCGGATTGAGGATTTAGGGTTTAGGGCTCGGGTTTAGGGTTTAGGGTTTAGGACTCGGGTTTAGGGTTTAGGGTTTATTTAGGACTAGGGTTCAGGGCTTTCAGGGACTTGAGCACTAGATGTTATGGGTACTGACTGACGCTGCGAGTTCCTGTGTTTAGGATGTATAGGGTAAGTGTAGATAGGGAAGCCTGGAGGAGTAGTCGAATGTGGCGGATTCGTGGCGTGGGGTCTCGAGGCTTTGGCATGCCCCACAAACCCTGAACCGAACGACTCGACGAAGGTACGGGCCGTCCAGCGATTTGGAGCCGCTTCTTCAAGAAGCAGTGCAGGTGCCTGGGTTTGAGGGTTTTTTTGGGAAGTTTTGGGGCAAGCACAAAACACCAAGCCGTATACCCTGAACCCCAAAGAGCCGACCATCTCAAGGATTTATATCAGGAAATCATACGAACAAGCCCTTTCTAGGCCCAGGTAGGATCTACCAATCAGGGAGGCGAGACACGAGTGAAAGGAAATCTACTTTACGGTTCATGGGTCTTAGTAACTAGTGTTATGAATAAGGTAACTATACTTAAGTACTTATAACCCCAACTAAGGCACTTATAACTGTACTTTTTCTAATTTCTAAGTCCCATGAACCTCCAAGTTTCAGACCGGAGGGTTTGACGTCCCAAATTCCGTGCTCTGAGTGGTTTTCGGTACCGCTACACCCAAAACCCAAAACCCTAACAAAGCCTACACCCAAAAAACAAAACCCTAACAAAACCCACACCCTACACCCTAAACCCTAACAAAACCTACACCCTACACCCTAAAAGGCTCAAATCTCTGACTGTTGGTTCAATTCTTAAGGTTAATGTTAACTCAGACTCAACTTTATTTGAGAGCCCTGAACCCCAAACCCGTACTATGCGGGTTCGAAGAGTTTCGAATACCATTCCTCCCTTTTATTGACATTGTTCGAGGGGTCGCGAGGTTCCCAAACAAAGCCGCCTTTGCGCAGGCAGCGCTGTCTGCAGTGTGTCCTGGTTGGGGTGCCGACTGCGCCCTGCCACTGGGCAGACACCAGAGTGTAATATAAGGGCCGGAAAATTTGACAACATGTTTCCTGTATGGGATCCTCAGTCAATACTACCTATGGTCTCCATTGTAGTTCCTTTTTTGTGGATGACCATTTTCTTGGTTAGGGTTAGGATCCTATAATATACATTTGGTTAACACAAAAAAGGAACTCCAATGGAGACTATAGGTAGGGTTTAGGGTCTAGAGCCAGCTCAAAAGGTGCTAGATCGCTCGAAGCCTCGAGCGCCCATGCAAACGGTCAGCGGCGCTCTCGGCAGTTTCAGGTTTTGGGTTAGAGCTTAGGGTTTAGGGTTTAAGGGATTTAAGGCAAAGGGCCTACAGTTTCGGGGTCGGGACTAGAGCCCTGTATGCTAGAACCCCTACAGAAGGCAGTCCCTATATGAATATACTAGCATATACCCCGCTCCAACAAAAAACAAAGCTCGCACATGGAAACTCCGTGACCCATCGTCGAGCCTACAAACAGAGTCGCATCGCCATCTTGCCATGCACCGGGCATTTTGCCACGGCAAGCGGTCTCGTATGACCAGGAGTATATATGGAACACGTTTAGATCTGAGGAAAGCATTGAAAAGCTTCTGCGCAGGCCGCAGTTGCACGTGCTTTCGATATGAGGGCCCGGGAAGAAGTCTCGCATCCATGCTTCCAGATTCTGCTAATGTAGCAAGCTGGGCCGCGAGAGACATGCATCAACTCATGTGGCAGCAGCTACATGGCTATGCGAGGTCGTGCAAGCTGAATCAGACAAGGTCTCACTACAATTTAAGCTGTCGAAGCGTGCCCATGTACACGCAACGTCAAGCCCGGCTTCGAATGTTTCAAACCCAAGTAGCGAACGAACAGAAGCATGAGTGCATCCGCGACGAACTAATCCCTAGCCAGCTGTGATGCCAATGTCTGCCGCTAGTGTGGTTCTGTAAAGGCTGTTGTCCCATTGCCAGTACAATCAGAATGGCTGATAGCTACCTAAAGCTCAGGGTGATGAATATGTTCTGATCATGGATATGTTGTGCCGTTCCTGATGGTGATGGTGATCTGTGGCATGATGATTGGCACGCGTATGATGACGATGACGATGATGATAATGGTGTTCCTGCAATGTTGTCCGTTTGAGTTGGGAATCTGTTGTCGATATCGTGGCAGCAATGAACCGGTATGGGGATATTTCAAGGGTTACCGTGTTTTGCCATACAGGGTAGAACCACAGCCCCTACAAGTATTTGTGGGCGCACTGATGCTATGACTTCTGCGACGACCAGAACAGTATCACCGACATGCTTCCCATGCTTCCTGCTTATGGGTGCCTACTAGCTAGGGATCCTAGATGATCCTGCTATTTCGGGTCTATACACTTGGGTCCATGTTTCCCCCGACTTGCGCAAGGCTCTTGCGACTTATTGAGGATCTCTCTGCAGGTATCCTCTCGAGTTTTGAGTGAAGGCCCCTTTTTTATAGATAGTTCTAATTTCGAGAACTACCCATATAGATCCGCCCAACTTAAACTCCAACACCCTAAGATCGAAATTTTGCGCTCAAGATGCCCCTGCAAAACATCAAAGTAAGCATTGTGCAAAATCCCAAAACACGGCGATGCCAAGTGCATGTTCGTCGCTTTCGCTCGCACTCCGGGCCGCGACGTACTTTCTGTCCTCGCACAAGCGACCCAGGGCATTTGGGGGCGGTTTAGGGTTTAGGGTTCAGTTCAAGGTTTACGGGTTTAGGGGTTTAGTGTTTTAGTTCCGTTCAAGGTTTTGTGGCCCCACTAAATCCGAAACTCCTAACCTCAAAACTCAATGAAAAGCCTAAATCAAGTTCCGAAAAACGCTCCCTGAACCCCAGAGACTAAATGCCTAACCCTGAACGCTAACCCTCAACCCTAAACCCCTTACAAAGCCGTGGTGAAGGCAATCCTATGACCCCATTAAGCCACACTTTAATGGCCCAAGCCCTGATGCCCCACACCCTGGTATAGGAGACTTCGCGGAAGGCTTCGCAAATCCTGGCATTGGGGCTAAAACACTCAGAATATGGCTTTGAAGGTTAGTATGCTAGAATTACAATGGGACCAGAAGCAGAAGGGAATACGTAGTCTTACTAATTAACCCAGAGGGTCCGAGTACCCAAATAGTCAGGTTTTAGGTCCCAAAATCCATACTCTGAATGGTTTTTGGGCCTTGAAACCCTACTATTTGGGTACNNGGTACTTGGACCCTTAGGGTAATGAACCAACTAATCAACTCAAAGACCAAGCTAAGACCGAGCTTCCGACCACCTCGCTTTCCAGGGCCCAGACCTCCGGGTAGAAACCTCGAGGACGTAGGGGGTTTAGGGTTTTAGGGCTTCTAGGGCTAGGGCTTACTGTAGGTTTGAGGTTTGAGGTTTAGGGTTTAGAGAATCTCTAACTCCCTGATTCTAATGTAGGGGCCTACATAATTACCGATACTATTTTGGGGGTTCTTTATTATAGTTATTGTGCAATGGGCCCCCAAACCTATCCTAATTATCAAGGCCTCTATATGGGAGTTTCCGATAATAGGGGACCCTACTATAGTACCCTAAATAGTAGGACCCCTATTATAAGGACCCCAAAATAAGGTACCCCTAATTTTTGGAAACCCCCATATTGTTGACACCCTATACCCTAAACCCTAACCCCTAAACCCTAAACCCCTAAACCCCTAAACCCCGAGAGTCCGGAAACCCTAAACCCTAAACCCTAAACCCTAATAGGGTTTAGGGTTTAGGGTTTAGGGTTTAGGGTTTAGGGTTTAGGGTTATTTTGACAACTACCTATATGAGTGTTATGAGGCTTCTGCACTACGGGGTTTTGCAAGAATTGTAAAGGCTCCTACTGGGCCAGGTAAGACTGTTATGAACCTGTTCGGGTTTAGGGCCTTAGGTTAGGTGGCGGTATGCCGATGAATATGAGTCTGTTTTAGAGTTTTTGCGGCTACAGGCTTTAGGTAGGAAAATGGGCATAGTATTGAACGAAAACACGATTCGCGGCTTCAGGCTTTAGGTAGGAAAAAAGGCCTAGTATGGAACGAAAACACGATTCGCGGCTTCAAGCTTCAGTCAGGAAAAAGGGCCTAGTATTGAACAAAAATACGAATAGCAAAAACCAACGCAAGCTGAGAAACCTTTTGACTTTGATTTCGAAAGACACCGTACCCACCGAGATCCAACTTCTGCAAGTCCATGTGTCAGACACGCCCATGCTCCTATAATGCTCTAGGAAGGCAGCTCTATGGCAGTTAATATTGGGGGCCTTAATAGTTAGAATGGGGTTTCGGGATAGATTCTACTTTCCTTCTAACAAGGAACCCCCGCCCAAAATAGTATTGGTAACTGTTTAGGCCCCCATATTAGGCTTCTTTGGGGTGTAGGGTTCAGGCACGCGTTTGCCAACTCGTGCATTCGCGTACTGGCTCTAAGAAACTGTGGACAAATTGTTTGAGGTGTAATGACATGAAGTGCACTGATATTGCATTAGTCGTGGCAAGTGTTTTGCCGGTGGTAGTAGTAGTAGTAGTAGTAGTAGTAGTAGTGGTGGTAGTAGTAGTAGTAGCAGTAGCAGTAGCAGTAACAGCAGCAGTAGCAGTAGCAGCAGCAGTAGTAGTAGTAGTCGTCGTCGTCCGTCGTCGTCGTTGTGGTAGCGCTGGTGGTAGTGGTACTGGTAAGGGTAGTGATGGAGAGTGGTAGGTGCCACGCAATAGGTGGTAGTTGCCGTGTTAGGTGGTAGTTGCGGTTGGTCACGCAGTAACTACTAGTAGTCCTCGGCTAGGAGCAGTCGTCGACATAGCAGTAGCAGTAGCAGTGGCAGTAGCAGTAGAAGTACATAGTAGCCGTCGTTAGTAGTAGTAGTAGTAGTAGTAGTAGTAGTAGTAGTAGTTGCAGTTGCAGTTGCAGTTGCAGTTGTAGTTGTTGTTGTTGTGGTAGTGGTAAAGGTAGTCGTAGTGGTAGCGCTAGTGGTAGTGGTAGTTGTTGTTGTCATTGTGGTTGTTGTAGTCGCACCGTTTCGCTGTCGGAGTCGTAGTCGAGTCGTACTGCTTGTATGTAGTAGCATGCCGCGGCCGCGGCCGCAGCCACGACAGCAGCAGCAGCAGCACCAGAAGCAGCGGCAAAAGCAACAGCAATAACAACAAACAGCAACAGCAACAGCAACCGTAACAGCAACAACAATAACAGCAGCAGCCGCAGCAGCAGCAGCAGCAGCAGCAGCAGCAGCAGCAGCAGCAGCAGCCACAGTGGCAACAGCAACAGCAGCAACAACAACAATAACAAGGAGATGTGCTGCCGGCACCAGTATATTCAGGCATACATCTGTGAATATGTCTATATATGCGTATATGTATACTACGCGAACCCTTTGCAAGACCAAGCTGCGATGGGCAAGCTCCTCGGGCGACGCTTTCAAAGGGCACCTGGCAAGAACTGAACTGGCTGGCTCACCGTCGTGGTTAACATGCTCTGTTGTCGGAAGACCGTAAACCCTAAACCCTAAACCCTAAACCCTAAAGGAAGAGCTTGGGATAATATGGCAAGCTGGAAGCCAGATCCCTCGGGCACACTACACAAGACACCAGGTTCTACAGCTAAGGCTGCAGTTCTCAAGGCCTTGGCATCAATCTGTGTGTGTGTGTGTGTTTGCCAGATTGCCATTCAGAAATTCTGAACACTATGAGCATCGTGCGGCATGACTATGAAAACAAGAACAGGGATGACTACAAGGCACGACTACTTTAGATCACACAACGAAACACGGAAACTTCGAATGTTCCGAAGGAAATCTTTACTAGACGACTTCTTGCAACACGACTTGCTGAACGAAGCCCTATACACAGCCTCACGGCTCTGAACCCCACTTACAACACTCAACCATGAAATGTAGCTCTACACCTCCCTAAACCCTAAACCCTAAACCCTAAACCCCAAACCCTAAACCCTGAACCGCACACCCTCAGGTCTTCTGACTTGCGCCTGCCCTCGGTGCATTTGGCAAAGTCGCGGCAGCGCTGCCGCGCCGGACCGGCCTGCAAAGAGAGAGGTTTAGGGTTTAGGGTTTAGGGTTTGAGTATATGCCGTGGAAGCTCCCTGTTTGAGGATTTTTGGAGGGATCACAACATTAAGACTTTTAAGGACAGGGTGTTTGCTATTCATCAGAGTCTACATGAACTGCACAAAGAAGGAACAGCCACAGATTACACATAGAGTTGTGTTGTTCATCCGAGGGTGGCTGCTGCAGCCGGTGCTGGTTCAATCCAGGAACCCAGGCGCGAAAGAATATCAGGGGAGACGGAGGTGAATGCCGGAACAGCGCGGGCATACCCTAAATCGTAAACCTAAACCGTGACTTGTTGCTCGCAAACATTAAAGCCGGCCTGAAGCTGACGCTATCCCTTCCTACCATGTATAACCCCAAAACACATTGAAATGAACAGATCACACAACACCCTAAACCCTGCGCCCGAGCACTTCATGAGTGAGCTTGACTATAACTGGACCCCCCCCAAATCTGAAACTCGAGACCTGAAGCCAACATGCCTAAACTGGTGAGCTGCCTCCCCTAACCCTAAACCCTAAACCCTAAACCCTAAACCCTAAACCCTAAACCCTAAACCCTAAACCCCAAACCCCAAAAAAATCCTAAAGAGCTTGAAGCTCGACCCGGATCTCGGGAAAGGCTACAATTTCAGCTTCAGGGTGTAGCAAGAGCTGCAGTTTGGGACTCCGGGTGCAAGGTTTGGGGTTTTAGGATGTGTGAGTTTAGGGTTTAAGGATGTGTGGATT